AACCACACAAGTTATGACCCGACTGGGCTCCGAAATATCCAATCTCACAAATCGATTGGCCAAGTCCTGAATATCAACTTCAAGGGGTCTCTCACCAACAGGAAGGAATTCAAAACTACCCAAACTCGCTGCCTTGCTACTCAAGGCATCGACCATCATATTGGCCTCTCCCGGATAGTACAAAATAGTAATATCATAGTCCTTTAGCATCTCCAACCATCTCTGCTGCCTCAAATTTAGATCCTTCTTTTTGAACAGGTGCTGGAGGCTACAATGATCAGTAAAAATCTCACAAGACACACCATAGAGATAATGCCTCCAAATCTTCAACGCCTGAACAATGGCATCCAACTCTAAATCATGAATATGGTAGTTATCTCATGGGGCTTCAACTGACGAGAACCACAAGCAATCACTTTACCCTTCTACATCAAAACACACCCAATACCGATCCGAGAAGCATCACAATATACTGAATATGATCCTAAAGCTAATGGCAAAACTAACATTGGAGTTGTGGTCAAGGCAGTCTTGAGTGTCTGAAAGCTTGTCTCACACTCATCCGACCACCTGAAAGGAGCACCCTTTTGGGTCAATTTGGTCAAAGGCGATGCAATGGAAGAGAAACCCTGAACAAACCGACGGTAATAACCCGCCAAACCAAGAAAGCTACGAATCTCTGCGGCTGACGTCAGTCTGGGCCAACTCCGGACTGCCTCTATCTTCTTCAGATCAACCTGAATACCTTCACTGGACACCATGTGCCCCAAGAACGCCACTGAACTAAGCCAAAACTCACACTTGGAGAACTTATCATAAAGCTTCTCCTCCCTCAACCGTTCCACCACAATCCGCAAATATTGGGCAGGCTCCTCCTAGCTACAAGAGTACACCAGGATATCATCAATAAATACAATAACAAACGAGTCGAGATAAGGCTGGAACACACTGTTCATCAAATGCATGAACGCTGCTGGGGAATTGGTCAGTCTAAAAGACATCACAAGGAACTCATAATGACCATATCGGGTCCTTAAAGCCGTCTTAAGAATGTCTAAATCCCTAATCTTCAACTGGTGATATCCTGACCTGAGATCAATCTTAGAGAACACCCTTTCTACCTGAAGCTGGTCAAATAAATCATCAATGCACGGCAAGGGATACTTGTTCTTGATATTGACTTTGTTCAACTGCCACTAACCAATGCACATTCTTATAGTGCCATTGTCACGTCCCAAACTAGCCCCTAGACGTGACTGGCACCCAGCTAACACCACATGCCAGGCTAACCATACTTTCTTACCTTAGCCATTAATTTGCAGCATTTGATTAATTAAATGAGTACCCAAATAATATGATAACTATTACGAACAATTAATATCTCAAAATATTAGATTAAAACTCTAGCCCAAATCCCACACTAGACCATGGAGCATCTAAGAGAATTACAAAAGGCTTCATATGAATAAATGATAAAAGGCTCTTTGGGCAGCCTCCACGAACAATGCGGCGGCTCACCTCAATAACTAAATCAACTCTAGCGAACTCGTTAGCTACTAGCTTCGTCTTCACCAATAGTATATGCAAAGACATGCAGGTAAGGAGTGAGTTATACGTAAATATAACCCAGTAAGATCATCGACCCGCCACTCTGAATACCTCTGGAACAAGTGTTAAAAAAAGCAAACACACAATGAGCACACAAATAATATGCACAGAAATTCTTTTATCATATAATTACTCTATAAGGTCCAAATAATTATTCAACAAAAATACTACATATATCTCAACACAATCTACACTAAGGACTTGTCATTAACGACAGTGTAGGAAATTAACCAAACACCACAACGAGTCCATGGTAGCATGCACAATGCCCCAACTCTATTACGACGGCAAACACATTGCCCCAGATCTATCAGGGCGGCATACACAATGCCGCAAATATATAGCGGCGGCACACACAATGCCCCAAATATATAGCGGCGGCATACACAATGCCCCAAATATATCACAGCGGCATACACAATGCCCCAAATATATAGCGGCGGCATACACAATGCCCCAAATCTATAACAGCGGCGAAGAAATAATTTATAACGCTCCAACGCCATAGCACAAGGCTACGCCACACCACACCTACACTACAAATCACTTATTAAATAATTTTAGCCTTTTACAAAATAATATATTTCTGCGGCTGGTCAAAGACCACCGATTCTGCCAAGCACACGCTCGTTCCAACACATGGACCAGGCAGAAAAAAATATACTTCCAAAACGGATTTTAGAAAAGCAAGTATCAAAGCTTAAAGTCTCACTTACCTCACTAACGGGAAGTTTCCCGATTTTGCAATGCCTAGAACACCAACCAAATAACCTCCAATGACCTCAATCTATTCAAAATATTGAATAACACGTCCTAATTAGTCTAGGTGAATAATTTTCATAATCTTAGGACAAGTCAAAATCAAAGTGAACCCCCGGTCCAATTACTAAAAATCTGTACAAATTAGCAAACGCAGAACATGAATGCCGCAGCAATGCAACCGTAGAATGCGTTACAATGCCTTAATTTACCCAATCTCATTATAAACCATTCTAATCATTGAATCATCATTACTTTATCTATAAATTATTTGCTAATCATTAATTAATCACTGAATGTCCAATTTGGTACCGTAAAAATCTAGACTTTGTAGCAGTAGAAGTCAGTAATTCTTTTCCCTGAAAACTATACAACGAAACATATCCTTAATCCCTTAATTATTACTTAACAAAATTCTATTCAAAAAGCTTACCAAAATCACTACACATACCTGAAGCCTACAAGTCTATTCCCTTCCTTGGCTTCGTCAGTGGTGACACCACAATTTGAGCTCGTTTACGCTGCCGCGTCAGTTTTCTTCTGACACGTGCCCTTTCACAATAGGGCTAGGCCCACCAGAAAATTTACTTGCACACTATTGTATACAATTATAGGAGTAGTAAGTTTCCTCAACTAGCTTAATATTTAACTCAATAACTATAAATAAAAATTAATTCTCTAGTTTCACAATTAATAAGTATTTAAAAAAAATTGGATTATTATATTCTCCCCCACTTAAAAAGAACATTCGTCCTCGAATGTTAAGCGAGCTATACCCTAGAAAAGAGAGGTATGAATACTTTGTCGTTATACTCATCTTATCTTTTCATACTTACCCTACATACGCTTTTTGTAACTCGTTTGGAAACTTATTAACAACTACAAATATCCTCAAGGTTAGAATCTCTATTCTACTGCCTTAAAAATCATAGATAGATATGTTGAACACTTTCTATTCATCTTGTGTAAAACCTTCATATAAGGAACTTTCTCACCCATGTCAATCGTGAATACCCTTCCATGTTATTCTAAGACCATAGGAACAACAAACTTAATATCCTTTACCTGACAATTGTGCATCACATAGCGTGATACTAATCATTCCATGCACATAATAACATTAAAGTCAGATATCGGCAACACTAGTAGGGTATCACACATCCTCTATATACTCTATCCACAAATATAGTCTTTTTACGAGGATTGTCACCACGTATGACACATTAGGAGTACTAAATATGATAAAACTAGTCAATTCATGCACAAGTTCACTTAAATGTCAACAATACAAACCATAACAAATTCGCAACCATCCCTATGTCGTAACTGTGATCCCACATGTCTGATAAATATAATCAATAATAGTAGGCTTCCCCACTTGGGTAAAATTATACTTTTTCAATTATTGCATCACCTCGTCAATATTCAAACTTTCTCAACTCATGTAATACAAGATATAACAACATGACAATTGTCAGGATAAAACACTACATTCGATAACATTTGTTAATTCTTTTCAAGTATTTCAACTCTTTAAATTGTCTATCTCTCTTGTATATGGTGCATGACAGTCTCCATACTATACGTTCTACCCTTATTTTAATAGCTAATCATGTCACTACTCGCTAAGTTTCATACTCACTCTTTTGCTATATTGGTGCATTAAGCGTTATACTTATATCTTACTTTCTCTCATAGATTGGAATTCATTAACGGACCCCAAGTATAATATGTTGTACCTTTTACATCACCTAGTGCCACAATCAAGGTCATACTCAATGCACTTAAATTAGAATAGTCATGCCCCAAATACACTTATAACAGTACCATCACGATATCACTAGTAATCAAATCACTTCAAAAGAGATTAAGCTTAGACCCATATAAGCATCTTTCTCAGAATATCTTTCATGCTAAGCCTTACAGTCTAGATGTGTTTAAGACATTGTTACTTTATACTTTATACTTCTACGTCCAATTCTTTTCTTATCCAAATCAAACTCATAACATGGAGTTGTATCCACAACTTCAAATATTGAATATGTCGCTCTCAGGAAAAATCAAATCCTTAGATCACTTTACAATTCACACAAATTTCCAACATTAAAAAATTTGACTAACTCTCAAACCTCTTATTTTTTTAAAAAAAATTTGGCACACGTTCCTTGGAAAATAGAGTTATCCCAAAATTTAAAACAAATAAAATATCAACTATCACCAATGCACGTAATATTTCATGTACTCAAGGCCACTCTCAATTGCTCATATATTGTTAGAAACTTCCATATCTACGGTGTCGTCTAATAGACGAGGATACACGCGGCCTAGCCAATTACTAAAGGGACATACTAGGAATAAACTCGATTTAGCTTAACGCACGAATGAGGAATGAAAGAAGTGAAAACATCCTAAATGCTTAGTAGCCTTAAGATCATAAGTATGGGCGCCTACATACCTATGAGCAAGACTCTACTAGACACTTCTCTATGACCCGTGACTTAAAGCCTAAGCTCTGATACCAACTTTGTCACGTCCCAAACTACCCCCTAGACGTGACTGGCACCCAACTAACACCACCTGTCGGGCGAACTATACTTTCTTACCTTAGCCATTAATTTGCAGCATTTGATTAATTAAATGAGTACCCAAATAATCTGATAACTATTATGAACAATTAATATCTCAAAATATTAGATTAAAACTCTAGCCCAAATCCCACACTAGACCATGGAGCATCTAATAGAATTACAAAGGCCGCATATGAATAAATGATAAAAGACTCTTTGGGCATCCTCCACGAACAATGCGGCGGCTCACCTCAATAACTAAATCAATTCTAGAGAACTCGTCGGCTACTAGCTTCGTCTTCACCAATAGTATCTGCATGGACAGGGAGGTAAGGAGTGAGTTATACGTAAATATAACCCAGTAAGATCATCGACCCGCCAGTCTGAATACCTCTGGAACAAGTGTTAGAAAATATACACACAATGAGCACACAAATAATACGCACAGAAATTCTTTTATCATATAATTACTCTATAAGGTCCAAATAATTATTCAACAACAATACTACATATATCTCAACACAATCTACACTAAGGACTTGTCATTAACGGCAATGTAGGAAATTAACCAAACACCCCAACGAGTCCACGGTAGCATACACAATGCCCCAAATCTATCACGACGGCATATACAATGTCCCAAATATATAGCGGCAGCATACACAATGCCCCAAATATATAGCGGCGGCACATAAAATGCCGCAAATCTATAGCGGCGGCATACACAATGCCCCAAATCTGTCACGGCGGCATACACAATGCCCCAAATATATTACGTCAGCGAAGAAATAATTTATAACGCTCCAACGCCATAGCACAAGGCTACACCCCATCACACCTACACTACAAATCACTTATTAAATAATTTTAGCCTTTTACAAAATAATATATTTCTGCGGCTGGTCAAAGACCACCGATTCTGTCAAGCACACGCTCGTTCCAACACATTGACCAGGCAGAAATAAAATATACTTCCAAAATAGATATTAGAAAAGCAAGCATCAAAACTTAAAGTCTCACTTACCTCACTAACGGGAAGTTCCCCAATTTTGCAATGCCTAGAACACCAACCAAACGACCTCAAATGGCCTCAATCTATTCAAAATATTGAATAACACGTCCTAATTAGTCTAGGTGAATAATTTTCATAATCTTAGGACAAGTCAAAATCAAAGTGAACCCCCGATCCAATTACTAAAAATCTGAACAAATTAGCAAACGCAGAACATGAATGTCGCAGCAATGCAACTGTAGAATACGTTACAATGCCTTAATTTACCCAATCTTATTAGGGCATCTCCAACCTTTACCCCATTTTTGGTCCCCAAAATGGGGATTTCCCCATTTTGGGGACAACTTACTCCAACCATTCCCCCATCTTTTTCCCCAAACTTTTTTATATTCTTCTAATTCTTCTATGTTATATTATTTTCTTTCATTTCAATTTCATTTTTTAATTTCTATTAAACAAATTCCATCTTTTATTTTTATTAATTTGTAATTTCCATAATTAAAACAATTCCATAAAATTTTAAATAATATAATTTGTAAGCAATATTATAGATTAACTAATAACTCAAATAAAAGTGAAATCATTGCAATAAAAGATTAATTAAATACATATTACATAACGATAAAATTCATTCGAATTACCTGATAAATATTCAACTTCAACCTCTAGTATTCTCCCATAAATGATCTATTAATGCATTACGAAGTGCAAATTGAGCATCTTTGTCCTTAATTCTTCTATGTCGTAATAAAAATTCTTGAAATCGTTGATTTTCATCTACTGCCATTTCTACATAAAAATAAATGCACGAAAATTAATTTATCAAAATTATACACCAAAGTTAAGATATAATATTAATATTATAAAGACATTACATAAACATAATTAGATATATATATAAAGAGATAAATTAAAAGATTAAATAATAAAATAATAATAATAAAAAAGTGATGAATAGTAATCGGGGAGATGAATAGTGTACCCCCTTATTTGAGGGAATATTATTCATCCCCATTTTGGGGACAAAAATGGGGAGGGTTGGAGCTAATTTTCCTCAAATATTTCCCTCATTACGAGGATGGGGCAAGGTGGGAGATAGCTTTATAAACCATTCTAATCATTGAATCATCACTACTTTATCTATAAATTATGGGCTAATCATTAATTAATCACTGAAAGTCCAATTTGGTGCCGTAAAAATCTAGACTTTGTAGTAGTAGAAGTCAGTAATTCTTTTCCCCAAAAACTATACAACGAAACATATCCTTAATCCCTTAATTATTACTTATATTCAAAATCCTTACCAAAATCACTACACATACCTGAAGCCTGCAAGTTTATTCCCTTCCTTGGCTTCGTCAATAGTGACGCCACAATTTGAGCTCGTTTACGCTGCCGCGTCAGTTTTCTTCTAAAGTCCTCCATTTTTTTCTTTTCTTTTTTGTTTTATTCCCAATGATGAAGAGACCTAGCACTTATATCCTCTAAGGTCAATCTGACACGTGACCTTTCACAATAGGGCTAGGCCCACCAGAAAATTTACTTGCACATTATTGTATACAATTATAGGAGTAGTAGGTTTCCTCAACTAGCTTAATATTTGATGAGTCCTTAACTTTTTTGATGGTTTTTTGCAAAAAAAACACGTTTCTAATGTTTAAAAAAATGTTACGTTTCTAAGTAAAACGCAGTACTATACTGCATTTTATTTTAACAGAAATTTGGTCATTAAAATAAAACGCAGTATAGTACTGCGTTTTATTTATAATTTTTTTTTACTAATTCACAGTACTATACTGCGAATTGCTTTAATAAAATAAACCCCTTCTTCTTCCTTGGACCACAGAACCAACGACCCCTTCTTCTTCAGATTCTGTTGGTCCCCTCCCCCTCCCCCTGTCACACATCCTTTTTGCGCGCCCCGCCCCGAAGGGTAGAATGCGCGAGGGGAGTTTTTCCAATTTAAGTGACAATATTCGAAATGGGATTATTTATTTAATTCAGAGTCGCCACTTGGGAAAGGTTTGGCTTTTGGTGTCCCAAGTCACCGGTTTATCTTGAATCCCAAATCGAGGAAATTTTCGACTTTTCCAAATGAAGTCTGCGAACCAGAAATTCTAAGTAAGGAATTCTGTTGACCCGAGGGAAGGTGTTAGGCACCCTCGAATCCCGTGGTTCTAGCACGGTCGCTTAAATTGTTATAATGGCTAAATATCTGATTTAAATACATGTTGTGACTTATGTGCTTTTATTAAGTTTAAACCGCTTTTATTATTATCATTTATTTTTATAGAATTGCAACGTCGTGAAAATGCATCTCGAACCACGTCACAATCAATGCACCCGTGGTCGTCGAAACATCTTGACTCTGTTGAGATTTGGATTTGGGTCACATCAATGTGCACCCGTGTTTAAGAAGGTTAAATTATTAAAGGTACGCCTAAAGCAACTAGCGTATTGTTATTTTAGGAAGAGGCCGCGAACGTTCATTAAACGGCCAAATCCAAAGTCTAGTCAATGGTTATGTATTTTATTGAGGACCCCGGCGGTTTGTGATTTATTTGGCGAGGCTCGTCTCATTTTTATTTTAAAGGATAAACCTATAGTGACTATATTTT